TAATTTTCTTCCAGCTAGCATCTACCTGAAGACAAGGTTCCCTAAACAACAATATAGTAAGACTATCTAATACTGAGCAAATATTGATAATTACTGAAGCTGGGTGATAGAGATTCAGGATAATACTGTTTACTATTCTAAAAATTATATATTAAACAAGTTTTTACATTTTACTTTAATTTCTAATTGCTAATTTAGATTTAAAAAGCAACAAAAAAAACTTTAATAAAAACTAAAGCTTACTTAGTTCAAACACTGTACTACATACATAAGCAAACAAACAATAGAAAGAAGGTATGAAAAGAACATAAACACATTTTAGTCATCTCTAGACCGTGCAATCTAAAAACAGCACAGAAACATGAGATTAACAATTTAAAGTAACTATTTTAAAATGGGGCTCCTTGAATATGGTGATTTATGTTCTCTCTAGATATATGTATTTTTAACAGCCCTTAATCTCTTGTACTTTCTTGGGAAAGACTACAATGTTAACTATTATCTACCAGGTAGTCAATAAACAAACAGCAATATTGTATACAAACACCAAGATACTTCATTCAACCGAGATCATCTGTAATTATAGCCAAGTGCAAATAACAGACTATAATTGCAAATAATTGTCTTTTTGCAAGATACACACCAGCAAGTATCATGACCCAAACAATTCAAAGATAAAAGCAGAGAAACCAGAATTATACACTGATCATTGGTTTCCTTGTTTCTTATCTCCAGAAGCTATTTCTTGAAATAAATGTTCCAAGGAAACTATAACAATATAAAGTGACTGGAAGGTATATGGCTTGATCAGGGATGAACTGATGGTTAAGAATAGCTTTTCTGCATGTTGCACCTGGAGTAAGAGGTGACCGAGTATACAGCATCAAACTCCTTTCATTGCTGTAACTGTGTGTACTAATTTTCACACCACCTGACTTCTCTGATGTGCCTCAGCTATCAACCATGATGATGGTTTAGGCTAGAGCTTCTCACTCTGGTATACATTCCATCACTTGGAGAGCTGGTGAAAGTGTCTGATTCCACCTCTAGGTGTAGAGAAGGACCAAAAGGCTCTCTAACAAGCTTCAAAGGCCACTGCTCCTGATGATCCAGGCACCACACCTTGGGTAGCACTGACTTAGAACTCTAATTCCTACACATCCATGTTCCCAAAAGGGTAAACAGAGTGCAGGAGACATTTACGTACTTCTCTCAATACTTTAAATAAGTTTTGAAAGTACTGTTCTATTTATTTTGTCATCAAGAAATCTTGTTTTGAAAGACCTTTAGTCTTTTATCTAGACTCCCTTAATGACGTAAATTGACCACTATTCCTTATCAGTAGTTAAAAATCTTATTTGGTAGCCATACTTGTTAAAATTTTCAACTACACAATTCTACTATGAGCCATACCTGTCATACATGACATATCTTCCTTATTCTATTTCCTTATTCTATTTAGCACTGTGATATAAAGGCTGTTCTTCTGTGTTCTAGCTAATTTCAGAAGAAAATATTGATTAAATCGAAATAATTGTCTTTTTTGCAAGATACACACCAGCAAGTAGAGAAGGGGAAAAATGCTTTTCTGGTACTTGTTGCTTGATAAAACTTCTATAGCTGATACTGTCATTCCAACTTCAAGTGACATTATAAAAATAGGATAGAGAAAAAAGTCATGTTTTCTACCCTGATCACTATGGTTTCTTTCATTACTCTGTCTGTACACTGTGCACTCTGAGAATACCCGAGATGTCCAAAAGAGGTGTCCAAGTGCCCGGAGAGTCTCCCATAGCACTATTCACTTTCACTGGTGTGAATAACAGTCACTACAAGGTGATTAAAGAGTTTTGACAAATTTAAGACTGTCAACATTAGGTTTCATTCAGACTCTCGCTCTAATAGTTATCTATTATATGTGTTTATGACTGAAATATTGCATTTTTTCAGATATGAAACAACAAAACATGCAGTTCAAGAAATATGGTGTGGTAATGAATAAGGGTTCTAGAATGAGACTGCCCTGTTTCTGAATCCTAGCTCAGTCACTTCTTAGTTGTACAACCTCATAAAGTAATTTAATCTCTCTGTGCATAGTGCATAGAGGGCTCATGGTTCCTATTTGACAGAGATGCCGTGAAAAGTCCATGAAATCATAACAGGTATATGAGGAAGAGGGAGAGGAAGGGTACAATGACGGTCTTTGTCAGTGACAAGGATTTGTGTCTTATAAAATGGAAGGAAAACATTCCCTGGAAATACCTCTTAGTGTGTAAAAGTAACAGCTCCTGTCTATTTTCTAAATGCATGTTAGCAGGAAATAGACCAAAACCAAGTCGCACCCTCCATCAGTACCCTGAAATGGAAACCTATCGACTATTCACATTAGGGAAGAAAAAAAACAGATTTACTTGAAAACAGAAACAAACCTTTTTAGCTAAATTCACCTTAAGACTCTCCCTACAACTATACTTTCCTTTTGAGATGTACTTTCCATGCAGACTCATTTCTCAATCTCCTTGTCCTCAAAACACAGCAAGGGGCCTGGTCATAAGAGGCACATAAGTTTGTTTCTATTTACTTTAAAAACAAAACAAGACACAGCTATGTAACGTTTCTGGGTGCAGAGGCACTGCTCCAAGCACCTCAGACTCCATTCCCTGAGCTCTCCTGAAACTCACGAGGGCAGGAGCTGCCATTCTTGGAATAATGGCTCTGCTGCAATCATTTCC